TTATTTCCTTTGATAAATTAAGAATTTCTTTCTAAAAATCAACGTTTATTCAAATGACCCGTTATGGTAAGATAGGTATATGTAAAATGCCGGTACGTTTAGTGTTAACTGTTCTAACTACGCAACATGTGATTCTCTATTGTAAGAAAGTAATAAATCGATAAATATAAGAAATATTCTATTATCTACGTATTTTTCAAAGACCAGTCGTTTTGACTAGCTTCGTCTTAACTGTCGGTTAAGTTCTAGCTGTTAAGCGAACTGAACTCTCCCCTCTCCTGCGGCAGGAATTCGACATAGAGATGACAAAGGTCGGCGGAAGTCTGGGCTTTACTCTGAGGAAGGCGGACAGCAGCGCTCTGGGTCACTACGTGAGAGCATTGGTGCGGGAGCCGGCGTTGAGCGACGGTCGTATCCGACCCGGTGACAAAATCGTGGCGGTGGACGGCGCGCCGTTGTCCCCGATGAGCCACGAAGAGGCTGTCCAACTACTGCGACAATGCGGCCCGACCGTGAGACTTCGATTGTACAGGGATCTCGCGCAAACTCCCGTCTCCGCGCTCTCGCCCACCGAGCCTGATCATCCGCTCCGTCCACCGCGGACCAGCCTCAGGTAAAGAGTTCTCCTCTCGATCGTAATTCAGCTCTTCATCCCGGAGAAATGAATTGGAATGATGGAAAAATAAATTCGTCTCTCCTCTTTGCTTTTCACAAAGTTTTTTTAAATCGCCCTCCCCGACTACTCGATGATTTAACGATCCCTTTTGTTTCACTCTCCGCCGATGTACGAACCTCCGAAGAGCTGAAAATTCAACGAGCAACAAAGTTGATTCTCTCTTTTTTTCTTCTTCTTCTTCTTCTTCTTCTTTCTTTCGATTTCGAGAACAAACTTCGACTTGATGAGAGTTCCACCGATCTCGCGGAAACGTTGTTCCCCATTATGTGTTCCCCCTGATCGTGTGTTTTGGCACTTGCAGGCAGGAAGCCGTAGACATGCTGTGCGACCTGGCAGTTCGGAAGTTATCGCCAGGTACGTCGAGCGGCTCGAGCTGCAAACAACCGTCCGCTGGAGCGTCTTGCAACTCGCCGAGGAGACTTCGCCGTCTTGCCACGCGTACGCCCACTACCGATAACGATCAAGGTATCTGAAACTTTCGAACTTAAAGTTCCTGCGTTGGCAGAGTCGTTTGTTGGAACGGAATTTTAACGAGCGTCCGATTAACTCGAACACTGTCATTAGACTGTTAATCATACACACGTGTGAAATGCACAGATTTCCCAGTATTGACACTAGAACCACCGACTAAAAATATAACATTTGTAGCAAAGAGATGAAAGGTACAGCTAGGTACAAGATTCTGTTAATTAATAACAATCGACAATACGATTGCTTTGTTAAATATCAATATAAATTTACTTTCTTAAACTGTTTTATTATATTATACATAAAAATAATTAACAATTATTATTTTGTCGAAAATCACTCGAGCATCTAGAAATATATACCGTTATAAATATACGAAATTTCCATTGTAATATTAGTTTAATTGGTCGTTTTGGCAGTTTCTAGCGTTAACGGCGATGCCAAGAAATTCCTTGTATTCCTGTAGAGATACCAAATCGATACCTTCCCAAACCAGAGTAGTTGGCCAAACCTTCTCCCTCCGTTCGAAACCGTATCAAAGTTCGTCGCGTCGAGAAAATGGGGGGAAAAAGAAAGCCTCGATGCGGGAGGAGGCCTGGACGCGGAATAGGAAAGAGAACGCGCGGGGCGAAAGCACAGGCTCATCAACATAAAAGAAAAAAAAAAAAAAAAAAAAAGAAGAGAGGAGC